TGAATTCCCCAGCCAGCCTTGCTGGCTGGGGAATTCAGGGAGTTGAAGTCCACACCTCTTAAAGTTCCCAAGGTTGAGAAACACTGGTCTAAGCATGCACTACTTTAGCAGGCAGCTAAATTAATGAGACCGATTAGTCTCATAATAAAGGGGAAGGGATGTTTATGCCTTCCAGCCTGGAACAGAAAGGGCTTCCTCCCTGGCACGATCGGGATGAACTATTATCTCCTATTTTGTTCAGGTCATTGATGAAATACAGACTTTTTATAAATCCGTATATGAGAAGAGAAAGGAGCCAAGTGTGAGAGACACCCTGAAAGCCTTTCAGCACTCAGTAAGTCTATATTTGATTTGTGTCTTTACTCTTAACTTTGGTCATAGAGAGTGCCTTCAAAGGAAGGCCTGTCTCTAACCTTATCAAGGTGCACCACCCCTTTGAAGTTCAATGAAGACCCAACTCTTAGCCATAACTAAGAGAGAGGGCCTGCTTCTCTTCTTTATTGCTCCTTGCATTGTCCTCCTTCTTGACATGATACGCCCTAGAGTTGTTTAAGACCTGCTGTGATTAGCATTCATGTTGGCATAAGGCTTAAGACACTGTTTGGAGTCCGACTGGAAGAGGAAAGGGCTTTCTGCGGCTGGAGTGGGTCACCAAGCCAGCGAGGGTGAGCAAGACTGAAGAGAAATGGGTGCTGGAGTCTTCAAACAGCTTTATTGGAAGGAGCTTTGTGGAGCTGGGGTATGGCCCAGTATCTAAGTTGGCTTCTAAAATAGACCTCCTCTTCCTCCTCTTAAATCTCAGAGGGTCTCCCTTGCAAGTTCATATATCTGCAGTGAACAGCTTCCTCTGGCAGTCCTCCCATCTTCCCACATCATAAGGGTTTGTGAGAGAGGCCTTGGGACGGGGCCCTGCTGAGAGAATCTCATACTACGTATCCCACACTGTGTAGCTTTCAAGCACTTAATTGTTAAATTTCTCACAGGAGGAAGGAAGATCAGTGAGGAGATCAGCAAATTAACTGGAGCTTCCTTCCTTATCAGCTGGTTACAGGGCTGGTTCAGCCCACCACAAGCTTCTGTCGAGATTGGGTGGGTGGGAAGGGAGATTCTGTATATTGCAAAAACGTGTGCTCCATTCCCCTCTTTTTCCGTAGCTGATGTGCCCCACACGTGGGGGTGTATTTTAATCCCTGTGAGAGCTTGCTTAATGGTCCAGTAAAGGGTGTCGCTGTCCTTCAGGCCTGCTGGCTTGAAGAAGGCTAGCATTTAGAAGATGAGTTGCAGCAGAAACAGAAAAAGGCCCCCACCCGGCTCCTTGGGGTTTGCCTGTTGTCTGATGGGTGGCTGGGGGATTAAAAACAATGCCGTATCTCTTCTCCCTGGGGCATCATGCCAAGATGGCCATTCTTGAACCTTGTTTCTGGAAAAACAACCCTTGTGTTTCTTTTTGCTGTAGATGGGTTGCTGTGGCCTCACAGGCTTTATAGAGCCCGAGTACCGGGATACCTGTCCTGATAACCTGAGGGTAGGTATTGGGCTGAGAAGTGTCATTTGCATTGCGACTTGTGGGTACTCCGGCACCTTCTGCTTGGGTCCGTTCCGCGCTGCCTGATTTCCTCATGGAAGCAGAGTCTTCTTTGTGGCAGCGTCAGGTTAGCTGAACGTCCCCAGAGAAGCTGCAGAGTCTTGAGGGCCAAAGCTATTTCCCAGAGCCATAAAGGCCTCTGGGTGTGCAGATGGTGGTTGCGAATTAACATTTAACTGCAAGTTGTAACGATTTTAAGGGGGAAACAGAAAGGGGAAGATTCACCTCCCTGCTCCCCTCAAGCAGCAAGAAGAAAACCCTCCATCCGTTCCAAAAGAAGCCCCCCGCCCCCCCCCCAAGGTTAATTGTCACATAGAATGATAACCCTCGGAGCTGAGGCAGCTGGGACGGGGTGGGAGGGGCTCGCCTCCTGCCTCTCTAGGTGAACCTGGCAGTTGCAAGTTTTATTTGGAAATCCAGTCCAGGAGAGTGAAAGCGGGGGGGGCGATAAATGAGATATTCCGTGTAATTCTGCTTCGGTCAAACCCCGCCTTGAAAACGGTCTGCTTGGGCACTGCACCTCCGAGGGATTCAGGGGAATTGGGCCAGGCTCCCAAGTAGGCCCTCCAAAGAGAGGCTGAAGGAGCCGGGAGCGCTTTGCCTGCAAAAGATGACTGGGCGCGGGTGGGAATTGTATAGCAGTCTTCAAACACTTGAAAGGCTGCCGCGCAGAAGAAGGTCAAGACCTCTCTCAGTCCAGAATGCAGGACCAGAATAACTGATTTAAAAGCAGATTTCTACTGAATATTAGGGGGGAAAACTAGCAATAAGAACAGTTTGCACTAGTGACCAGAGAGGGGCTGGGTTCTCCTTCATTGGATGTGTTCAAGCACTTGTCTGGGGAGCTTTAATTTGGATTCCTCCCTGGGCAGGAGGGGGAAAACCACAGCTTGAATGACCCTTTCCAAGTTTGGGATTCTGCAGCCACATTGGTGGGGTCTTCTGGTCATAGTCGCCAGTCCAATGCATGCATTATGGTACTGAACTCAAGCAGAATCTAGCAGTCTCTTCCTGTGGTCCTGGTGGGAGTCTGCAGCTGTGGCTGAACGTCCCTTCAGAATTTGCCATGTTGTTTGGTGGGCAAATAAACTCTGCAATGTATTTACTAAATTTCCCCCAGAAATAAGGGGAATTCTCCAGTGGAGAGCTTTTCATTAATCATGGTAATAGGCCAATGGAAAATGTTTTTTTGAAAATGGTAGTGGCTAGAAGATGGAACTCTTAGCCACAGTGTACAAAAATGTCTACTGAAATATTTAGTTCTAGTGTGCAACAAAACCGAAGAATATCATTCCTTTCTCTTCCAGCCGTGCCCCGCGTCCATTGAAGAATTCTTCGAAACCAAGTTGAATGTAATCATAGCTGTCGGCATTGCGGTTGCTGTGGTGATGGTAAGTCATGACTGTTGTACAGGGTTTGGATTCTGAGTTAATGATGAATATGGCATTTGTTTTACAAAACATGCAAATTGGCCAACTGGAAGACTACAAGCTTCAGTGGACGATGGGAACCATGCCTTCCTCATAGGGTTCGTGGAAGTTTAAACCCAACCAGTCCTATCCAAGGGTTTTAGAGTTACTTGAGCACTAATGGATCTGGAGTATTCTTTAAATGTCTGCATCGACTTTTAATATGTAAAATATTAATATTTAATATTTAGTAATACAATATAAGTAATCACAGCCTACATTGTAAGAGGCCATGTGCCAGTTCGATGACGAGTCAGGATTTGGGCTTGATCTTTGCCCTGAACTGTAGACCATTCGAAGGAGGGACCTCACTAAGCCAGCTTGCTCCTTTCTGAACCAGTGAACTGCGGCTCGGGGCTTCAGTACAGTGATATGAGCGGTTTTCAGAAGAGAACAAACCGTGAACACTTAAGCATTCGGGCTGAGGCTATCACAGTAGCGCAGAGCACTGCACCTCCCAGCATTTTTTTTACCACTGGTCATGCTGGCCGGGGGGGTTGCACACTGTTGTCATAGCGTCTGGATGAGCGTGGGTTCCTCGCTGATCTTATCTTTTGGACTCTAAGCCCTTCCTGTTACTTCCTAACTCTAAAAGCACCTGATTCTGCTCTCAGGTGAGGATGAATTATGCTGTAGCCCAGGATTTCTCAGCCTTGGGAACTTGAAGAGGTGTGGACTTCAACTCCCAGAATTCCCCTTGCTGGCTGGGGAACACTGCTATAAGCAAACATGAGTTACAACTTCCTCCAAATCTTGAGACTGAATGCTTAATAGATTATGGGACCCTTCATTTTTATTCAGTGCAGTTTGCAAAAGAGCTTCGTAGATATTTACTTTAGACTTGTAAGGAGCAAGTCCTAAAGCTCTGAACTGGCTACTTAATGTTTACTAACAAACATTTCAGTTGTTTTCCAAAGCATATAAACTCTCTGGTTTGTCTTACAACTTGTGAAGAATTCTACAAAATATTTGTTTATTTCTTTTTCAGATTTTTGGTATGATTTTCAGCATGATTCTTTGCTGTGCTATCAGAAGAAACCGAGAAATGGTCTGAAAGCATTCCGGAGAGTCCCAACTCCTCATCCAAAGAATCTCCAGTTATTAACTTAGCATTTTAAATGGCATTTCTAAAAGTATATATTTCGTTTTTAAAGGCTTTATTTAGTTTGGATGTTCTTAATTTTTTGCTCTGTAAGTTTATAAATCTTAAAAGGAATCTACTCTTGAAAAGATACTATATTTGTAAAGCTAAAGTCCAACCACTTGTATATAAAGTTTTTGTCTCTTAATTGATGTCTTGCTTTCTATAAGCTTAAAACTGGGATGTAATTTATGTTGGAGAAATTTTCATACTTAATAAAGATTTAAGACCACATTTTTAAAACACAAATCCATTTCTTTTTCGGCGTACCAATTCTAACCCGTTGGCTTGATTTTCAGCATGATTCTTTGCTGTGCTATCAGAAGAAACCGAGAAATGGTCTGAAAGTGATTTTCAGCATGATTCTTTGCTGTGCTATCAGAAGAAACCGAGAAATGGTCTGAAAGCATTTTTAAAACACAAATCCATTTCTTTTTCGGCGTACCAATTCTAACCCGTTGGCTGGGCTACTTTTTCGTGGGAAGACCCTGCAAATTTTACCAGGATAGCTATGGAAAACTTCAAATTCTTGAGCTTGGCCCTTATCCTCTGGTCTGCTTCGGGATAAATTTAGTGGGTGGAAAGTTTAAGGGCTACTTAAGTAACGGGTATATCTGTGGCTTGCATTAATGCCTGTTTAGGACTGGAAGCAGCCATATTGCAAGCCAAAGGGAAAATCTGGCATTAGTCAAATTGATGCAGATCAACGCAAGGTTGGTCGATCGATTCCTCTAGACACACGGCAGCAAAGACACGCAGAGCCAAGCCAGAAAATGCAGTTGTTGGCATGTAAGAGCCCAGCAGTTGTTCAGCCTTGCAACCACAAGCGAGCTTGTCCTCCTGCAAGACTCTGCCTCTCTGCCTGGCCTCGCCTCTTTGCTCTCCTCCTTCTCAAGTCCGCTGAATATGTTGCTTCCAAGTGGCGCTTCTCAAGGAACTCGTTAAGATCCATCTCCGGAAAGAGCTGCTTATGTCTCTACAGCGGTCTTTCCTTACTTTGGCAATTTCCTGATGTTTGAACGTCATTTCCCAGTTTCCCACCTGCGTGGCCATGGCTGAGAGTTCTTGAAGTTATTTTTCTCATACCTTGGAGAAAAGTGCAGCCGTGCAAGCTAGTGCTGCAGTAAACAATAGTTTAAATACAATCTTTCTATAACATCCTATAAATGTATATAAAATTCCTTGGGCAATTCAAACTGAGGCCTATGTTCGGCATCCTAGAGGCATCTTGTATCTTGGAAATGGGGAACCTGAGTTTTTTGTTTCTACAGCAGCTTGACCAAACTCTCAGAAGTTCTGCGATTCTTTGATGTTCTCTTTTGCAAAAGCAGAGGCAACTCTGCCTAATGGAACTGCAGTATTTAGTGTCTCTGAAGGACCAACACAAACAACAATAATTGTGGCATAAAGAAAAAAAACGGGGACACATTCCTTGCGTAGCTATCTACTTTTACCCCAGAATCTCTTCCCTTTTGAGATGACACTCAGTGAATGAGCTCAACCAGTTCTCTTGTTGACAGCAATTGACTAGAAGAACAATTCTGATAAACCACCCTATGGGTCCCAATAATCCTAGGTTTATATTCTTGCTCACTGAAAGTGTTCAAATAAGGCAAGGCAATGTCAGTGAAATTCTCACAAAGTTCATTCAGAAAAGGTGCAAATTTCTGATACAAGTTCCACTTTGAGTTTTCAACATACGCTACAGGAAAAGGAGACAAAATTGGGAGGAGAAAGGATACAAGAAGAACAATAGAGGTGAATATGTGTAGCTCAGGGTTCGACTGTGGAGTCCTTGGGGTCCTCTGAGCTTGGTTCTTTTCTTGCAAACGTTTCATTACCCGGCTAGGTAACATCTTCAGCCGGGTAATGAAA